TATACCCCCCACAGCCCCTCCCACCCCCACCCATCAACCCCCTTATCATCAGTGCCATGGTGGCAGCCATCAGCGCCACCAACCGTGGGCGGGTCAATGAGCCGGTACCTGTAGTCGCACCAGGGGCAGCGGTACGGTTTCTCCCCAGTGTGAACACGATTGTGCCGCGATAGGTGGGACTGCGTGGTGGAGGCGAAGCTGCAGAGCTTACATTTGAAGGGTCTCTCTCCTGTGGGGTGAAGGGGTTGAAAAGATAAGAGACAGACAATGGTGATGAGACCAAGATGACATTCACTGACAAACACACACAGACACAACTGACATGGTTTGGCCAATATGGTGGCTTCATAAACCTTTTTTTTTTCTTCATAAAGCTGTGTGGAATTAATGTAGACTAACAAAAAGTTGGCAAAGCATATTTTTTCTGACACAACAAACCACTTAATGATTCTGAATTTACTTTGTAAGTATTAGTTTTGTATGGGAGTGTTAGCTTTAGCTGAAGAACTTAAACTTACGGAAGTGTCAGTTAAAGCTTTAACACTGAACGAGTTTATGTTTGAGAATTTAAATAACTTAAAGCGTCATTATTTGAAATCTCTGCTTAGATCAAGCCCTGTAGCGCGTTACTGGTCCGTTTGTATGTGAACACTGAAAGTAGTTGAAGGGTAATAGAATATTATAGAAGAGTAAGCTTTTGATGGAAATCCAGATGGGAGATTTATAGCATTAGATGATAGACTATTACCATATTTGACACACAGCCATTAATCTTACAGAGATAGAGACTTGATTCTAAATTGTAAGGGCATGCTCGCAGGGTCAAGGTATCAATTAAGCTTAAAATCAAAGAGGCAGACCTGATGTCTGTACGTTTTAACATTGTTCGTTGCTGGCAGAGGTTTGTGCTCTCTGGGAGCTTTGTATTTTATTTTTTTTTTTATTCCAAATGGCAGACCAGAGTACCGAGGGAGTATTTTACTCAACAGCTTTAGGGATGTCAGTGTTTAAAACCTCCAATAAAACCTCACCCTGCTTTAAGGAGCTGCCAACCAACAAAACAGTTAACAAGTTTATTAACATGGCATTTGATTGACTCTTGCAGTGTCCAGTGTTTGTTAAAATACTGCTTCAGTGACATTTCCATACTGCCAAGAATAACGCTAGCCACCAAATCCTGAGGCATTTTGGGAATGAAAGCAGAAATGTTTAATATTCTAAATAATGGCGCAAAGTTGTCTTTAGAAAACCTGAACCACAAAAATATTGGCATTAGCTGTGGCCTTTAAAATTCTGTCTCACTCAAACTCTGACAAGAAAACACTGTCAGACAGGGTGGTCCCTTCATATGCAGCTGCCTGACAACAGATTTGAATATGCAGCTAAATCTGTGGAATTGACACATGTCAACGCAGGAGAGGGGGACAGAAATTGGAGGTTTCGGGGGGAAAGGCAGAGGAACTGAGGAGCAAACAAAATGAATTATGAAAGGCTAAATGAATATTTATAACAGGATTCTTGATCCTTGGGCGCCTGCCAGACAACGGTTAAGAACAGTATTTGTTTCACTATCCCAATTTCCAAAAAAGCACTCGTTATTGACAGCCTATCTGAAAAATGCAATTTCCCTAAGCGACAGAATGACATGGTGAAATGATAACTGAAATTAAAAATCTCAGATTCAGTCAGCCATACTGGTACACATGCCTATCACTGACAGCAGCATGTCACACTGATGTGCCTGTGCGTGTGTGTGTGTGTGTTTGAGAGAGACAGCAAACAGTTGCTAAAACTATGTGAAAAAAATAAATTGTGGCTGATCAGATCTTGAAGTGTCAATCACCGTCCGAGATTATGAAGGTTCACACACATGCAACGGTTCGTGTGTGTGCTTACTGGTAGATTAGTTTACAAGGTGAGTTCAGGATGTGTGTGTTGTTGTTGCTTACCTGTGTGTTGGCGCCTGTGTTTGGTGAGGGCGTGTCTTGTGCCTCCAGCAAAGCCACACAGGTCACACAGATAGGACTTCTCTCCTAAAGAGACAGAAAGAGAAAGAGAAGAAGTAAAGCATTAACATTTTACAGAATGGAGAGGAAAAAAGCCATAGAAGAAAATTAACAAAAACATGTTTTTAATATGTATGAAGTGTATTTTGTATTATATGTGTTTATGTGCATTTAGATCAAGTTTATTATGACACATACATGTAAGTAATGTCATAAATAAGTAAAATGAACTGCTACTACTGCTGGATTCATTAACAAGTATGTGAAGCTACAGGATTCGTGACATTTGTCTTATTTTAGCTGCTTCCCCTATTTCTGCCTCAACTAAATATAGCTCAGTATAATCAATCTGTCACTAATACTATTTTATTTTCCGACGTTAAAAATTACAATCAAATAGTAAAATTAAATAAAATATTGTGGGGGGGTAATAAGTCATTAAAGCAGATTTATGAAATCCTTGAATCCTTTGAGTGGAAAAGTCTGGGGGAGGAAGGAATGAGTGATTCTCTCTTCACTCAGAACTACTGCTGAGGTGCCACTGAGCAAGGAAAGTGAGCGCTAAAGTGAAGACAAAGAAGTAGAAAATGTGGCGTTAATGGATTGGGAGAAATGTGTGAAGGAAGAGAAAGGCAGAAACCGAGGGAAAAGGAAAAGACAGACTGAACAGATGAGCAGCGGGTCTAGTTGGCTAACAGATGAGCCAAGCAGAAGTCACAGATCACTAGTGTATATCCATCAGAGCTCTCACAGCTAACTAATTCCTCCAATCAGATGGATCCGTGTAAATATGTCAAATGGGGGACGGGAAATTGCCAGTGTGGTTTATTGACTGTGATAAAATCTGAAAAGCACCGCTGAACATAATTACATACTTGTCAGAGCCATAAAAATTAGCTTTATTATCAATGGGATGGTTTTGTACAACTTCATTTGGGGGCGATGCCTTCCAGATGGGGAGCGTGGAGAGCTTTTTTACACTCCTTCTCTCTTCCCTGCATCTGGCTCTGTCATTAACAGCATGATGGTCCCTCTCTCACTCTCTCTTTCTACCTCCCTCTTTCTCTCTGCCAGTGCACACAGGCAGTCACACACTCCTGCATACACACACACACACAC